TTATCCGATGTAGAATGCCTGTCATAAAGTTGTCCCATGTTAAGACGGTTATTATAAAATTTAAATTTGTTGTCGCGGCAAGGAAAGTAACATTATCTTCCTTTACGACAGACACATTAGCTGATCACAAAGGAAAACCATCCACTTGCCACTATACATCATGTACTGTGTTACAACCCTAGATAAAGCCGACAAGGAAAGGCATTAAATCGACCACCGAAAGCTATATTTTTATGAAGCCTTGGTGGTCGAGTGGTCTAGGGCGCTGGACACAGGACAGGTGGTGTTGCCACGATGCCAAAGACGCAAGGGTTCGAATCCCGCTGAGGGAAGAACAAAAATTTGCTAACGCAAATTTGAAGATCTAACATTGTTGGGCTAAATTTGAGACAAATTATATATATATGGTGTTAGCTCTGCATAGCCACGCGTTATCCGATGGAGAACGTCTGTCATAAAGTTGTCACATGTTTAGACGTGCATAATAAAATTAAAATTTGATGTGGCGGCATGGTAATTAACATTATCATCCTTTACGACAGACAAAATAGCTGATCTGAAAGGTACACCATCTACTTGCCACTATACATCATGTACTGTGTTACAACCCTAGATAAAGCATAGAGGAAAGGCATAGAAATATAGCTTTCGGTGGTCGATGTGACCACCGAAAGCTTTATTTTTTATGTAGCCTTGGTGGTCGAGTGGTCTAGGGCGCTGGACACGGTGCAGGCGGTGTTGCCACGATGTCAAAGACGCAAGGGTTTCGATCCCGCTGAGGAAAGAACAAAAAAATCTAACATTGTTAGGCTAAATTTAAGACGAATTATATATATATATATGGTGTTAGCCCTGTATAACCACGTATTATCCGATGGAGAATGTCTGTCATAAAGAGAGAGAGAGAGAGAGAGAGAGAGAGAGAGAGAGAGAGAGAGATTGCCTAACAATGTAATTTTAACACACTATTTAGTATGTAAATATAAGAATGTTTAAAATATTTACAAAATGATGAAAATAAACGCAATATTTCGCTAGACTAACTAGCTTTATCAAGCGTGCATCTATCCAGGTGAAATCGGATGTAGATGATAAGAAACTTTTGCAGCTCAATGTATATGTTGCACTTGAATTTAGCTGCCTTGAAAATAATACATAATATGGATGAAGTTCAAGATTTTTACAAAATTGGTAGTTGAAGTTAGCAACGTCCATTGGCCAATATTACAGGATAAAAAGGACGATGCTGTGTACTAAATTATTCTTTATCTTTCCTGTATCTTTTCTCATCTTTTTCGTTAAGACCATCAGGTTCTAAAGTGTGGAGTTGGTGGATCCAAATATTTTCTCTTCTCCTTCTCGCCGTGGTGTCCCACTCGGTGTTGACTTCTATGATTTGGAAAGTAACATTATCAAAGGAATGTTTCGTTGAACGAAGATGCCTTGTGAGAGGACAGTTTCAACGAAACATTCTTTTGATAATGTTACTTTCCAAATAAAGTTACTTTCTTGATAAAGCTAGTTAGTCTAGCGAAATATTGCGTTTATTTTTATCATTTTGTAAATATTTTAAACATTCTTATATTTACATACTAAGTAGTGTGTTAAAATTACATTGTTAGGCAATCTATAATTTTATTTGTGTAATTGAATTAATCTCTGTACTGATTAATCCACACTCCCATAGATTTGTATGTCATGTGCTGCTATTTATAGGCACTTATATATATATATATATTTATATATATATATTAATAAAATGTTAAATCAAGTCGTGTACTGATTCAAAGCATTCATAGAAAAACACACAAAAATCAGGTAAGTAGAAAATAAAATATTAGCAAAGCTAAATGTGTACAGGAAGTACGCAATTTATGCACAACAATATAACGTAAGTCACACTACCCCCGTGGTAACGTTACTTAGTTACATATCTTGAAAAGTCCCGTGAAGGATGAAACGTTAGAACAATGATGCTAATATATTATTTTTTTATTTACCTGATTTTTATGAATATGTATACATATATCTGCCTTTGTATAGTTACGACTTGTCCATTGTATTTCTTATAATTAAGAAATACCAGACATTAGAATTATTTTTAAAGTGCCAAGAAAATCACCTAACAATGTTATAGTATATCTGATTCTTTACCTTATGCCCAACTGGGGCTTGAACCTGTACTTTTACTTCACACTTCCACGACAGCACTGCCTAGCAATGCGCAGTTGCCTTAACAATGTTGGATTTATAAAAGCAATTTTTTCTTTTTTCTAATTTTGTTTTATATATACATAAATTCTTAAAATTTGCGCATACGAAGGTGGCATAATAAAATCGTATTCAATTGTATATTGCTATCTAATATCAGTACCGCTAAAACAAATCTTAAAAATTTATATATTTTTAAAAAAATAAAACATTTTTTTTTTAATTTGCTTAGCCTCTGTATTCGCAGTATTTCCTAATCTAGACGGTCCAGTACATATTTAATCTTCTGGTTGGTCTTTTTTGTACATATTTTTTTCTTTCTACCTATCTATCTATCTATCTATGGTTTTGGGATTTTGATATTAGTGCCAGAGTGTATCATCAGCTCAGAAGTCAGAGCTTCATTTCTGACATGATTTATAATATACCTTTAAAATTTGTCCGTTGATATGTTTAAGGTAGTTAGGGGGGTTTGAATTTTTGCGCGGTCTGCATAGGTGGTTACGCAATGATATCGTAAGCCATGCTTATTGTTGTAATTTGCCATAACAATAAAATTTGATTATTGAAATAATCAATTTTATCTAAATACATTTAGGAAGAGTTGAATAATTGAAAACTGCAATTTCATAACTACATAAGGTTTATTGTTGCGATTTTCATTGTTGCAAATGTACTTCCGTTTTGGAAATATGGAGCATGTTCTTGACGTCAGAGAAAAGAGAAAGACAAGATAATTCATTATTATCGAACACATGAACTACTTTTCATGAATACTGTAATGCATATCGAAAATTTTAGATAACAATCTTCATTTTGGTAGCTTGTGAAGCAGTTTCACCCTTGTCTTGCACTAGAAATGGTCTGGCAAATACGAGAAAGATGGATGTAAACAAAAGGTGAATTACTGTAAAGTAGGTTTTTATCATCGTCTGCTAATGAATACAAGTGCTTAATAGAGCGAACCATGAGCTCAAAAAATCATTTGCAAGCGTAAAATTAGTGGAAATGATTTCACAGCAAAATCCGTGAACAAAAAAACAGTGACCCCCTCCCTCCTTGGACAGAATATGTTAGTATACTAGTCCCATTTTGGTTAAGCATGCACAGCGTTAAAGTTTAGAATGTTTCCCTATATACATGCTGGCTGTACAAATTTTTTTTTTGAAATAAATCATTTCACAAAACTACCTTCCCTATCTGAAGTCTGGATTGACAGTTCTTAATTTTTTTCTGTTTAAATGCTTCATACCATTTTTTTCTATTCTTTATTTGTTTATCCCATTTTTCAGTATTTATTATAATGTAACACCCCATTATTCTTTATTAGTTTGTCTATTTGTCTATTTTCTTTAGTTATTGTGCACATTATTCTCTATTCTTTAAAACCCATCCAAACCCTCCTATTTTAATTTTATTCACTTTGCAGAATTCATTATGATTGATGAAGTTATACCAGTGTGTGTTTTACCAGCACTCTACAATTTTCATGGACAGAATTAAAAAGTCTACATGAAATTCAAATCAGGCTATGCTAAAACAGTTCAGATTGACATATAGTCCTTATACAATTAAAGTTATATTTTTACCCTAAATGGCTAACGTATTTGGTACAAATATTTCTTCTTCATACAATGAATGTACTTTTAACATACAAAATAGCCAATTTGAGCATGTAGTAACTTAAAAATTATGTTGTGAACCAGTCAATAAAGGCCATTATACAGAATTCATAAAAATATTGAAATCATATATCAACATACATCATGGGAAGTGAAAGCTTGTGCTATTTCTACATTTAAATAGATCTGCATAATGTAGGATCCTTTTGTCACTAATTTAGCAAAAACAAACTGTATGGGCCATAACTTACATGTATCATTATATTTTGATAGATTGATGTTTAAAGTATATTAAACAATAGAAAAACTGGTATCTAAATTCTCCCAAAAAACTAAATTAGATCCCAAGGTTTATATGAAATATCGACTGAAATATCTGACAAATAAACTTAAATATCTCGATGAGTTGACCTAAATATCTGCCATGTTCTCTTAAATGTAAAAAGTGTTGAAAATTTTCTTTTATTTTTTACCTGTTTACTTTTAACTATCCACCAGAGACTAAAGAACAATGATGTCATAAACTGCAAGTCATCCTTAATCCTTCAACAATTATTAATGTCCGTATTGTAAAATTAGCTAAAAAGGCCTGTGCATGATACAATGTGAGTCATTTCAAAAACTTTAACAGTTACGAAGACGAATAAATATATATATAAAAATACATTTCTTTAAAGCAAATATTTGAAACAAAAATTCACATAATACAAGTATACCCTTTTGGAGAATTTAGCATCTGAGATATTGCTAATGCACATGTTTCTATGGCTACGGTTTTTAAAACTTAAAATTGTGTTACTTCATATCTATAAATGAGAAATGTCTATCATTCAGTTCTTCCTATATGACTGGTAGAGAAAAAGGAGTAATTGCCCCTATATATCTTTACAAAACAAGTTAAAAAAAAAAAATTTCTGGAGGAGTCTGTGGAATTTGTAAATATTTCAAGTTTCATAATACATAGAAAAAAACCACTGTGTGAATGCATCATGATCAGATATACATGTATGTCAAATATATTTATCTCTCTAGGAAATAACATATTAGACAAAATTCAGAAGAAAGAGGCAGGGGATTTTTCAAAATAAACAATAGTATACTTAAAGAGCAAAATTATATTGACCTCATAAATAAATTAATCGAAAACTATAAAAAACAAATACTCACCAAAAATTTAAAAACACTGTGGGATATGTTTAAATCAGAGGTAAGAACCGCAACTCTTACTTACTGCAAACAAAGATCATCTGAAAATAAAAATGATATAAAAAATTTAGAAATAAAATTAAGAAAATTAAATGAAAAAACAAATGCAAGCCCAATTATGAAAAAAGAAATTAAAACCATTGAAAATGAACTTGAACACCTCTATTCAAATAAAGTTAAAGGTGCACAAATAAGATCTCGAGTACAATGGTTAGAAGAAGGAGAGAAAAATACTAAATTCTTCCTGGGCCTTGAAAAATCAAGACAAACAAAAAAGAGCATTACAGCGCTAAAAGATAAACATGGGAAAATAGTTACAGAACACGCAGAAATTTTAAACATAGAAAAATTATACTATGAAAATTTATATAAAAGCACTTCTCCAAATTTAAAAGATATTAAAAATTATATAAATGAGACCAACATTGATCACAAACTATCTGAAATAGAAAGTGATTCCTTGGGAGGCCCATTAACAGTAGATGAATGCACTAAGGCAATATTTAAAATGAAATTAAATAAATCGCCAGGAATAGATGGGCTAAGTGTAGAATTTTATCGCACTTTTTGGAGTAATTTAAAAGAATTTACAGTTGAAGTTTTTAATAAATGCTATGAAGAAGGAGAACTAACAACCATACAAAAGATAGGTATAATATCCTTAATTTACAAAAAAAAAGACCCTTTGTCACTAGATAACTATAGACCAATTACGCTATTAAATGTAGATACAAAACTCATTGCATATGCAATAGCCCAACGTTTAAAACCAGTACTGTTGAAAATAATTCACAGCGATCAAAATGGTTATATCAAAAATAGATATATTGGTTTTAATATACGCCAAATCCAAGACATTATAGATTATGCTGAAACATTTCATATTGATGGTGCATTACTTTTTATTGATTTTTCAAAAGCTTTTGATTCATTAGAATGGAGCTTTATGTATGAAGCCCTTATAAAATTTGGTCTCCCAAACTCATTCATTAAATGGGTTAAAACATTATATAAGAATATTAAAGGCTGTATGCTAAATAACGGTTGGATTTCAGAAACTTATAATGTATCTCGTGGGATACGACAAGGATGCCCATGCAGTTCTCTAATTTTCACTATAGCAGTAGAAATTCTTGCATGCAGAATAAGGCAAGATACTGGTATTAAGGGATTTCAAATCAAATTAGACTCTAAAACACATAGTTTGAAAATCTCACAATTAGCAGATGACACTACTCTTTTTTTAAAATGCAAGCAGAAAATAAGCTATGCTTTAAACTTGATTGAAATATTTGGAACACTCTCAGGTCTTAAACTTAACCGATCGAAAACAGAAGGCATATGGCTAGGCAAACTAAAAAGTTGCAAAGATAAATATGAAAATATAAACTGGAATAAAGAACCTATTAAAAGCCTAGGGGTATATTTCGGACTTAACAAAGATGAATGTGACAGATTAAATACAGAAAGAATTTAAAAAAAATCTCAAGATGCAATCAATAACTGGAACAGAAGAAATCTCACAATGATAGGTAGAATAACAGTAATTAAATCTCTTATCCTACCAAACTTAACTTTCTTGGCATCAGTTACAACTATATCCAAAGAATTTTTGAATAAATTTAAAAAACTGATTTACAACTTCATTTGGGGTAATAAAAAAGAAAAAGTTAAACGTATAACTTTATGTAAAGATTACTTGGAAGGAGGCCTTAAAATGATTAATATTGACAATTTCCTATCAGCTATACAATTATCCTGGGTCAAACGATTAACATCAAAACACTTTGCAAACTGGAAAGTTATTCCCCTTTTCTTTTTTAATACATTTGGAGAAAACTTTTCTTTATTCAACATGAATCCAGGTAGCATAAAAGCAATCCCAAACCTTAGTAAATCACTCCCTCTGTTCTACTTAGAAATAGTTAAAAGTTGGTTTAAATTAAAAAATATCTCAAACAAAAATAACAGTACAACTTTTGTTAATATAAGACAACAATACATTTGGGGCAATAAACATATAAAATTTCAAAACAAATGCTTAATATTTTCACATTGGATAACAAACCGGATACTATTTATTAATGATATAATCGACAAAGCAGGAAAAATTTCACAAAAGATAATATTAGATAAATTGACCATTAAATCTAATTGGATATCAGAAATATCTAAATTAAAACATGCAATACCAAAAAAGTGGCAGTTGGAAATGAAATCAGATAAATCGTGCTACACTCAAGTTAAAACGAATAAAAAGATATACTTAAAAACACAAAATAGTACAAAACTGATCTGCATTGAAAACCTTCCATCAAAAGAAATATATAAAAGCATTAATTCATGTAATATAGAGGAAGAAACACCAATTGGCTTTCTAAAATGGAAAACACAATTTAAATTGGATTCGTCAAGTTATCTATACAAAATGCTTAACTTTATATTTTATAGCTTACAAGTTAATAAATTAAAAGTATTCAGGTGGAAGTTACTTCACTATATCCTTCCTTGTAAACAGCTATTGTATATCTGGAAACTGAAAAACGATGACCAGTGCCATATTTGCAATCAATTAGAAAACTATGAACACTTTTTCATTACTTGCAAATACTTTCAAAATTTTTGGAAAAAGGTCAAAGTACTCCTTAATAAAATAAAAATGGGGACACAGATAATCACCTATAAAAATCTAATACTTGGCTACAAAATATATGATAAAACATACTATGACATAAATCTGTTTCTCACTGTATTAATGTTCTCTATTCATAAATCTACATATGCATCAGAGTATAAACAAAATAGTGTTGATGTCTATAGAATTTTTAAGTTAGAATTTAAACAATACTTTGAAAGTATGAAACTTCTTGATAAAAAAACAAGTAGATTTTTGAATGATGTTTATAAAAATATATAATAACCATCTTTATATTGTATCATGTGTATATGTTCTTTTTTTTTCAGTATCATTATATACTGTATATTACACGAGACATATATACACAGAGATTGGCAACTGTGTATATATGTCTCTGATATTACGTAGAATAACCTATATGAAATGTAAACAACTGCGAAATTTTAAGTTTCATGTGTGTGTTTTTAAAAATGTGATAAATGATCAATGTTTACCTGTACAACAAACTTATTGAACATTGACCCTGTACTGTCTACTGACCGGAAAAATCCTTGATATTTAAGAATAAATTATGATTCTTTCTATAAATCTATTTAAAAGCGATGGAAATATTTCCAAAACTCACCATTAGAAATACTTAGATAAGATCCTTCTGCTCTCATCATCAAATTATACCCATGCCGTGGTATTCTTTAATCATCCGATCATCTCAACTTTCACGTGAAATATTTTGATCAAGGTTAAGGTCAACGATTAAACTATAAACAATATCGGACAATAGATAGTACAACTTCCGTAATTACTTAATATAATCAGAGACGTCTCTGATATAATAAAGACTTCAAAAACAAATTGTTAAAATCAATGTATTCATTGTATAACTAACCATAATTAATAGATATAAATTTTACTGTATAATCTCCCTGGTTAAACAGTAACTAATCTACAGGGATACCCGACTGAATGCTGTGAGTCGTGTAAGTTGTAAAAACAGCAGAGAAATGTGCAATAAAAGATTTATTTATAAAAAAAAAAAAAAAAGGAAATAACATATTCATGAAAGCTATACTTTTAGGCAAACATTTTTGATAGGATAAGTTTTTTTAAATTCAAATTATATGAAAAGGGTAGGGTGCTGGATGTCGCGGCTGCTAATCCGTACCAAAAGTTCAAAACAGAATTGGAAGGTTGTTAACCTTGTTGCAGAAAGAACTATCACAGCCAAACTAGGGAACTCGATAGGCAAATGCTCACATTAATCTATGCCTGTTCCGTTTGCTAAATGTCTTATTTACACCATATCTCATGGTGGTGCTCCTCAAAAAGGAGATTTATTTTTGTTAAAATGAGAGAGTTGTTCCGAACTAAAACTATTTCCGTCAGATAAGTACTGAATTTGTGCTGATCCTTTTATTTTATTTTTATGAAACTTTGATATTGAACTTCCATAAAGAAATGTAGAACCACAATTGAATTGACATGTTGTCCTCAATCAAAACATAATTCTTACGGTTTGTTTATGTAATTAAGTGCATGCGTAGTTTTCTTGACCTGGAGGGGCAACAGACTATATGGTTGCTCTGGATTCCTCTCTTTATTGATTGATTGCAGAACACCCCCTCAGTCCAAATGGAGTCTTCCATATTATCAACGCTATTAAGAAACTACATGCCACTTGTTGCTCATTGTTGATCAAATGTTTTAAAAAAAGTCAAATTCATTTAACATGTTTTAATATGTAAAAAGTAAAATAACAAAAATACCGAACTCCAAGGAAAATTCAAATCGGAAAGTCCCTTATCAAATGGCAAAATCAAAAGCTCAAACACATCAAACGAATGGAAAACAACTGTCATATTCCTGACTTGGTACAGGCATTTCCTTATGTAGAAAATGGTGGATTAAACCTGGTTTTATAGCTAGCTAAACCTCTCACTTGTATGACAGTTGTATAAAATTTCATAATATTGACAACAATGTGTGAACAAAACAAACAGACATAATAGGTAAAAATGTCAAAAATAGGGGTACAGCAGTCAACATTGTGTTATAATCTTAATCACTAAAATCAAACAAATGTGTCAACAAAGAAAAACAAAATGCCAAATAGACAAAGCACATATGCAAAAATGAAAGACAAGAATACAAAAAATGACCACAGCACAACAAAACATTGGCGGGATGCATAAGTACCGAACAACGCATAAAGGATATTACCAAAAAAGAACTAAACAGTAAAGGTTAATAATTTACAAAGACAAATAAAAGAACACTATAACACTTAATTAAGATGATAAACAACGTCAGTACCTAGAATCTATACTTTAAGACCATCATGTATTATTTGTGAAGTTGATACAGAATATTTATCAACAAGGTCTTGGTATCTTCCGATGAACTTTTTTTATAAAAAGGAAGAAACGTTCTTTGACATAATCCTGGTTCGTCAATTTCTGCTAAGACACTGGTGACGTTTTATAAAGTCTGAATAGCAGCTGCAAGCTCTTGAATACCGAATGAGTTGGAAAATGAATATCCCATATAAAGGTCAAGTTGGTATATTGTATGATTATGTTTTAAAATGACAGTGCATCATAAGCCTATAAGGCTGGCTGAAAATATAAATGAGCATAACATATGTATATTATATTATGTCAATTCAGGTTGCACTTTAATAAATTATTTATTCATGATTCATATTGCTACTTAGGTGAGGAAAATTGGTAACTTCAAAATTAATATCGTCTCGTTTGTCATAGATTCTGGTACTGAGATGACCGCTTATGTCAAATTCGAGGTATAAGTCTAAAAATGAGGCGGAGGAAGCCGTGTCTTTTGTTTCTTTAATTTCTAGTTCTGGAGGATATATTAATGGAACCCAATCAGAAAAGTTCGAATTGTAAATGGAAAGAATATATCTGAATGTGAAATTAAATGATCTTGCGTCTTTGATCTTCTTGTTTTTGACAAGTGTCTGTAGGAACTCCGACTAATATGAAAATAAGAAGAGGTCGGCAAGGAGAGGCGCACAGTTCGTTCCCATAGCAATGCCGACAATTTGTTGAAAAAGTCTACCACCAAATTCAATAAATATGTTGTCAATAAGAAACTCCAGCATACGGATCACTTGTTCCTCTGTGTAGCGTGTTTTACCCTTTTGTTCACTATTAACAAAATATGCCGTATGGTATCCCAAAATAAAAACTGTATAGCGTATGCTACCATTTTTATATTGAAAAGCATTGTGGATTATTTCTTTTAGACTATTTATCAATTTCACCTGGGGAATGGTGGTATACAGGGTTGAAAAATCAAAAGTTTTGAAAGAGTCAATTTCAGAGAAAGATCGAGATTTAAAATTATCCAGAAGTTCCTTAGAGTTTTTTAGAAACCACATATGGTTAATACCACTACGCGAGTAAACAGTTTCACAGTATTTCTGAAGACCCTCTTTCCCTGCGGACAGAATTTTTGTAAATCTAATGGACAATTCCTTTGTAGAACATGCAGATGAGCCGGCAATGTACCGTTGTTTGTACGGAATTTTGTGAAGCCTAAGTATCCAATACAAACAAGGTACGTCCTCAGATTTGCTGTTCAATGTAATGTTCATTGAAGCCATGAAGGACTTATGATTCGCCAAAATCTCGTCCTTGTCAAATGATATGTTTTTGTATGTGGGATTACCTGAGTGCTCATTTATTCCTAATTTTTTTACAAGACACTTGCAGTAATTTATCGATTAACATAAAAAGACTATATAATATGTAAGTAATCATCAGATGTGTTTATTTTTTGTTAAAAATCTGAGTAGATTAATAATGAACTCGGCCATTAATAGATTACCTGTGAATAGACTATTCCATTCAAGTCAGGGGTATACTTGTGGAGAGACTATTCCATTCAAGTCAGGGGTTAAAATCTGTTTAACTTCATGGCATAGAAGACTTGTAATAACCAAAAGACAGTGTCCAGAGCAATGGTTGGGTTTTTTTGCTGTTAACTTTAAGTCTAAATTTAAATTTTTTTGAAATATCAATATGACTTTTCCAAATTTCATGGAATTTTGCAAAACTACCTGGAGTGGGAAAAAATAAATCTGTTCTTCATGATCAAAAGACAGTATAAAAGCTAAATTTTTAAATTATTTGTTTTTTAATGGTATGTTTTTTAGTATTTTACTGATTAATGTACTCAGTTGATTGTTTGCAGTTTACGTTTAGAAAGTTAAAGGTTAAAGTTATTTAGACATCAGTAAATTGTAAGTATTAATATCTTCATCAAACTTTCATTCAATGTAATGAACATTGGACATGATCAAGAATTGCATCTGAAAAAAGGTTAAAAAGGTTGATTGAAGAATAGAACAAACTCATCTACGAACTTATAATTTGGTACGCTAGAAATGCGTTTTGGCTTCATAAGACTCATCAGTGGCACATGAATCAAAAGTATAAGAAAGCCAAATCAAATAAAAAGTTGGAGAACATAAAAAAATAGGGTTTAGTTTAACCCTTTGACTTTTTTGGTTAAATTGAATTGTGCCAATCGTTGTCTAAAAATTTCTTTTAAGTACCAGGTATATGTGTTTAAATACATCAATATATGTCAACGGTCAATATCTTTGGAGGTTATCTATTTTTTTTAAACTCAATGGCTTGAAATAGGAATAAAATATATATAAAAGAAAGGCTCATCAACGTTCATGAACAGTGTATACCAACAGAAAAAAAAAAGTATACAACTATGACACAAATTCTAAAAGAAATTATACTTGCAAAAATGTTGCAATTAATCGCACTTTATTTTTTTCCATGCACAGTCCAGGTGAAAACCTGGTTAATTTCAAAAAGGTGGCAGGAATATTCGTTTTAAGGTTATGAATAAGTTTTAATGACCACTGCCACATGTGTCTCTAAGGACATAGTCTTTCTGTCTGTGCCAAACAAGTACAAAATTGTATCTCGAGAAACCATTTTCCCAAAAGCTTTCATGCATTTTAGAATTTAATCTTGACCACGAACGTCATTTAAATTTTTGCAGTTTTGGAAGACGTCTAGGACTTTAACATTTTTGGCCATATGAACCCTAAAGCCAAAGAAAGAACATATTGACCTTTTTTATGCTTGTACAAATGTATATTTTGGCACTGAGTATGTGGGATTGATAACATTCAGAAGGAATATTTTCAAATTGAGTGGGTTTGAATTTCTAAGAATGAAGCAAATGTAGAGCAAAAATTAAAACACAATATACTGTTCATGTATACATATACATTTGTATCAGAGATTGGCTGTTTTTTAAGTTGAAAAACTATCTTCAGATTGAATCAAATAGGGAATACGTGTGCAGTTGAATTATTTTTGAGAAAGAATACTAATATCAATGGAAACAATGGCGAGATCGTATCCCTCAGAGCGAGCATGCTCTTTATTTATTGAAGTCCCATGGAAACTTTTAAAGAGATGTTGATACCAAACTTCTCCATTCATAAAAATTGCTTTTATTTCTGAATTGTTACTTTAAGTCTGTTTCCATGGTAAGCCAGTCATAATAAGTAGATTAGTTTTCTAATATTGCCGGTGACCCCAAAATTTTAATCCAATTTTATAAAATAGAGACGTCAAGCTTTTCAGTATGAAAAAATGAGCAACTTCTCTCATTTGTTTTCCTGTGAATATTCAATCAAAGAGGTTTTATGTCCATTTTCCCTATATATCCATTGAGAAATTAGCCTATTAGCAACCATTTTCACAAGTCGAAAAATCTCCATTGGATGGCCGATGAACCCCAAATGTTATTGTATTTTTTTAATAACCGTGCAACAAACTTTAAGTTCACAAAGTATGAGAAAATTCTGTCATTATTTTCTATACCCCTGAACTACCTTAAAATGATTTAAGAAACTAAAGTTCCAACTCTCTCAGGCAAAAGAGAGGCGGAAGATACTTAAGGGATATTCAAACTCATAAGTCGAAAACAAAACTGACCTTAGTTGACCAAAGTTGACTTAAGATGGATTTGGCTATTATTTTAAGGTCTCTTTTGGTTATAAAGCTGTTCGCGTGTTTTCAAAAAAATAATCATTCCTTTATTTATTTGTTTGTCTTACTAAATGTATCTTTAAAATTGATCAGTAACTCCGAGTTTTATCTAAAATGATAAGGGGAAATAATTTTCCTATACAAATTTATCCATAAAAGAGAATTTGAAACATATAAATACTAAAGTACATTACCTTTTCATTTGGTTTCAACAAATTTATTATATATCTGTTCTTCTCACCAATCTAATTCAATAGTAACAGAATTGAATTCCATATATATTCGATGAAATATCAAGCTATAAACTTTTAAACAAAAATTCTACTGACGAAATGTTTTTCCGTTCCAATTTGTGTTGTCTAATAGCCTAACCTAGTCATTTAACATTATTGTATAAGTATTTTACCGAATACGTATGTTAGAAATAGTCAAATTCAAAAGAACATACAAAGCAGTCGTGCGAAACGAACTTTAAATTCAAATATGCAAATACTTTTTATTTTAAAAAAAATAGAACTAATAATTCTGTTCCTATAGATAGAACACAGTATATAGCTGTTTAAACATCTTTACCAAAAGATTGAATCGATTTCAGGTAAGAACAACATTTTAGTGCATAGGAATTAAAATAAAAAATATTTTATAAGAATATTGTACTAAATATGGTTTTCTATAGAATTGATTTTATTTTATTTAGGAATTGCAACTAAATTTTCAAAACCTCAAAAAAGAAAAGCCAAATTGTTTTATGAATTGCTAATTGCATCAAAATTACAAATTGATTCAAGTCGTATTATGCTTTACTTTTACAGATATTATGATTATCATAGAGGAACCTATTTTTTATATTGTTTTATTTGTTATGTCAATTGCCTGTAAAAAATAAGGAAACAACAACCGTAAGAGAAACATATAGTTTCAACCAACTTATGACAAAAATCACTTTTGACAGCTGAAACTGACGTAAAATAAACATTCACAATATTCAAAATATTTTGTCGCCTAAACATATGTTAAATAAACCCAAAACACTGTTTTACATCAAATAACATTTAAGATTTTCCATGGCGTTCTCTTCGAATTATGAGTTTGATGATCCCCTTGATTTTTTCCGCATCTTTTTGCACTTTAGGAATTATTTTTTTTAGAGCAACATGGCAAAACTATAGACATTTCTCACCAACCATATTGATAATGAGAACAAACAATGCATGAAATTTTTCTATTGGAATGTCTTTTATTAATTCTAGAAACAAATTATTAAAAAAAGACAAAAAGATGGGTTAATACTTGCAATACAATATACTACACAACATTTGGCTATAAATGTACTGAAAAATCAAATGAATAAATAAAATGTAAGCTAGTATGCAGTTTCATCTGGAACTGTGGTATCTTATACTGATGTAGATAGATAATAAAACTGTATGTATTTACTGCTGTTCTCGCAGCGTCTGCCTACTAATCACAGTTCCCGAATAAATTAAAAGATAGAAAAGACAGTTCAACAGTGCTTTTTTTTCACGAAAACTCTTTTTTTAATTTGACAATAACATTACTTACAAATCATCTACTGGTTACTATATATTACATTTTTCATTACTTGATACCAATTGTAATTACTTATTGACAGTTCATTTGCATTTCGAGGTAAATGTTTATTTAAACTCAAAAACATTAAATACAACGGTCACACAATTATACATCTCTTAGCGACGACCTTTATACGCGTTGTGTAATAGTTTAACACATAATTTGATTAGAATGCCACATTAAAACTTTATTATCGATAGGAAAGTAAAAAGATAATTAAAAATGACGAGTTTGCTGATATTGTGTTTATTGGAACAATAAAACTTTGATCATACTCATAGATTGAAAGTAAAAAATAATGAAAAGTAGTGATAGCTGTGAAAAGTATTTATATTTCATTTATGGATACCACCAACTGAGGGGGTTTATTGAAAGTAAAAAACCAAGTAAGTATTCACAAAAAATAAATATTAAATATTGCGTGTTAATAGTCAATGTAATTCTGAAAATTATTTGCAACTCTATGGGCACCAATTATCAGGGATGCACAAAAGTAAACTTGTTTCTGAAATCTAAACTGTTTACAAGAAAAAATAGTTGCACGGTTTCAATTCACACAGATTTAAACTCCTTTCACATCACAAAAAAAACCGTTTTATAATATTTTCTGTGTAGCAATGTAATGCATTGGCTGTATATATTTACTCTGTTATCATTTCATTACGACGTTAAATAATATCATACAATTATATCATGCTGGTTATATAACGTATTGCAATATATTCATTTAGTGGAATTTGATAAGTGAAGTACAAAAGACCAGATTAATTTATTTAAAAGTGTACATCAATAGATACCTAACGTACGGTTCGTATTTGTTTAAAATACTAAACAGATAGACATATCCAACTAAGTAAAACATCAAGTGACTTCGATGACGTAGCTATCCGCCATCTTTAGTAAATTTGTCTCATAGAAATTGCATAGGCCTTTCAATAAAATTTAATTTTTCGTTAATCCGACCCGTATTCTAACTTTTGCACATCTTTCCTTTGCCATCGAATACAAATCTTTCTTAAAATGTTGACCCTGACAGTTTAAATTTTAATGAAATTACGTCCCTGATCAATATTGCTCGTTTTCTCCTCCTCTACCCGTTGACTGTATTGTAAAACTAACAAACCCTCGTATTCTTATATATCAATTTCACAAATTCCTTAAACAAATGTATAACTTTGCACCTATATTGTAACATCTGAAAATATACATGTACGTCTAGTTTAATTCGTTGGCAAATTACGTCCCTAATCGATTTAAAACCATAAATTTTTCGACGATGACGGGATTTTTCAAAATGCCGTCTGTGTCATTTGTCGTGTTCATACTTCAGATAAATTTGCCTTTCTCATTATTTATTTGGCGTATTTTTGAAGGTGGCATGTTTTGTCCATGATTTTTTAAAAAGTAGTTTTTTCGATGAAAAACAAATCTTTTGTGAAAGTCCATACATATTATCACATTAAAATATAGAAAGGCAAAGACGTATATCTACATGTGTATTTTTGTCTCTGAGAAAGGCAAAACAACAGATAAGCCTGACAAGTTACAGACAGGCAGATAAAGTCTGTAATACACAATTATTCAGGTAGTACACAGGAAACGTATGCAAAACCAAATTACCAATACTTGTTATAATCATCCCCTGTACAAAGTTATTTCCAAAGTTTTAATGTAATGTACGACATATTTTTCCCACGGAAAATTCTTCCAAACATCAAATTTTATCACAACACTGAAAAACAAATCAATATTTATATTTTCAGCTTCTTAATGTTTTAACATTGTAATTTTTTTATTAATTATATATCAATTGTAAAATGCATCGGTTTTTTTTTTTTTTTTATGTTTGTAAAATGTGTCATTTGATAAGAAAAAAAATTAAGCCTTAACACAATGCTAATGATTTGATTTTTCTTCTTTTTTTTTTTTTTGTAATTTTATTTGACAAAATATTTACCGAAATTTGACCTAATGTAGAGATAAAGTGCGCATAAGTAAATGTAAGAACGTATCGACCCTTTACCAGCCGATCTGTACCGACAGAGTTATCGACCCTTATTGTGACTTGTATAGCTGCGTATGCAAACTCACCAGTCAAAAAAGAACTGACGATAACATGGCAAAAAACGAAAAACGACAAAAAGACAAACAACAGTCTACAAACCAAAACATAAAAAATACTAATGAGTGATCTGGATACCGTATCAAATGGGAGATATGTACTCCATATGCTTGTGCTTCTGGAATGTTGGTACAAAGAAATATAAAGCTCACAATACTGAAGCTAAAATCATTTCTTATATAGTAAAATTTTGTTCTCATCCGAACAAAGGTAAATGTTCACCGGATACCATCAAATATATATTTACTTTTTTGCAAGCATACACTGACTTGTCTTTTTGACACGCTGGGTGTTTTTGCTATAACATCTTATTGTCCCAATTTTTTTGTATGTGAAAGTTTGATACGTTTAAAATAAAATTGAGAAATGAAATGGGGAATATGGCAAAGAGAGCAAAAAGTAGAAAACAGCCCAAGGCCACCAATGGGTCTTAAACTCAGCGAGAAAATCCCGCACACGGAGGCGGGCTTCAGCTAGCCCCTAAACAAAAATGTGTACTAGTTCAGCGAAAATGGACGCCACACTACACTCCGAAACATATAAACGAACCAAAATTAAAAAAAACATAGAAGATTAACAAAGACCAGAGGTTCCTGACTTGGGACAGGCAGGGGTTAAACATGTTTTGTGAGATCTCAACCCTCCCCCTATACTTTTAGCCAATGTAGAATAAACAAGCACACAACAATACGTAAAGTAAAACTCAGTGTTAAAGAAGTCCGAGTCCGACATTAGAATAGTCAACAGAAGAAACTAGGCAAAATGACAATGCTACACAAATTAACAAAGGACTACTAGCAGTTACTGACATGCCAGCTCCAGACTTCAATTAAACTGATTGAAAGATTATGTCTTCGTCATATGAAAATCAAGCAAAATCCATCCCGTTAGGTGTTAAGTATCATACCATCATAAAATATACGAGAAGAATATAACCCGTATCATGCCAACAACTGGTTTTAGAATAAATGTGTTTATTTCCAATGCAAAGACCCTATGAGTGAATCAATATTAATTCCTAAAAATGTCATCGTTAATGACCTGACAAGGGTATCGTAATTATGTCCCTTCTGAATAAGTCTGTTTAAAGGTTTGGTTAGCTTTAGAGGTGAATGACGACATATTTGTGCTTTGTATAGAATATTACCATAAAAGATTGGATGTGAAATACCTGAACGTATAAGATGTCAGAACGTTGATTTATATTTACGAATGATGTCCTTGTATCGATGATAAAATTTAGTAAACGTTTTGATGAGTTTGTGATATCGAAAATCCTGGTGTAATAATTTTTCAGTAATACAGAGATTTCGTTCGTTAAAATCAAATACGTTGTTACATACACGAGCGAATCGAACAAGTTGAGATATATAAACACCATAAGATGGTGACAAAGGAACGTCACCATCTAAAAATGGATAATTAACAATAGGAAATGAAAAAGCTTCCCGTTAGAGATATAGATATCAAGATCCATGAAAGAGGAGTGTTCATTGTTAGTATTAGCTTTATTTAAAGTCAGTTCAGCAGGATAAATCTCTTCAGTGTACATACTGAAGTCATCATTATTGAGAGCCAATCTATCATCCAAATATCTAAAAGTGTTATTAAATTTTTGTATCAGATGTTGTTTCGGTGGGTCTTTGCTGATTTTATCATAAATTGTAACTCGTAACAATACAGAAACAGGTCAGCAATAAGTGGTGCACAGTTAGTCTCCATTGGAATCCCGATAACTTGACGATATAGGGAATCTCCACAGCGAATAAAAAAGTAATCTAGTAAAATTTCAAGTACAGTTATCGTAACAAAGCAGGTCCAATTGACATAGTTATTTTGTTTGTTGTTACTAAAAAATGACCTAAAAGAGTTTGAACATATAAATATTCGCATTCTGACTTTTTAAATGCCCATTTAATTAGGTTTGTGATTTTTTTCTTAATGAGATTATGAGGCAAAGTGGTATATAGGGTAGAAAAATCAAAACTTTGAACAGATTCGAAATCACCAATATTATCATGCAATTTATCAAGTACTTCCAACGAATTTTTGACACTCCAAAAGTAATTAATTCCACTATTTTCAAAGGCCTTATTTGAAAAATTTATTACCAGGTTTTTGATTGTACCAAGTGTACCAGTAAGTAGAATAGACAGTTTAGTAATCGAACAATGGCTTGAAGACGAAATAAATCTATATTTGTAAGCTGTTTTGTGCAGCTTCGGAAGCCAGTACATAGTTGGAACAGTCATGTTATTCGGTTCTGCTTGTAATGAGGTAGCTAAACGTTTATGTTTGTTACAGATGTCATTTTCCGAAAATGGAGTCAGTTGGAATGTTGGTGAATTCGTGATTTCCTTTTGCAGAACCTCAATGTAAATATTACGTCAAACAATAATGATATTATTGGCAGCCTTATCAGCCTGGACAGAAACAAATTCCTCAGCGAGTTCTTTTAGCATATGTTTGATACGAGAAATAGGGCTATTATGGTTGTTGTTAGGAGTAAAATGTTCTATAAAATTTTAATACGAGTATCAACTATGTTCATTATATTACTGAATTAAAAACAAAAATCTAAGGATTTTTTGTCAGCTTTTTCTCGAATTATCCATTTCGTACGGAGTGAGTCGTTATGTTTCTGCTCAAATTGAAATCTTGATCGTGATAATATACAATTAGAAGATCGCTGATTAGGTTAAGATGCCGATTTTCAGTGGTTATTTCATAAACTAATATCTCTATTGATATAGCTATTTAAACAGGTTTTTGTAATACGCCCCTAACCAAAAGTTTTGAAACCAAAATATAAATATTATTTGAAAGCATGAAAATTTAAAAACCTTCTAAAAAGAATACTAAATTCTGTCTTATATGGCTGCTTTTTTTCCATTCGTTTCGCTCGTTAATATAGTCGGGCGTTTGATTTTGTCAGGTTTTGTGTACTTCCCCCTTAATGAGTTTTCCTTAGAATTCTGTATTTTTGTTTATACTATTTATGCTTACTTAGAAATAGTCTGAAGTAGATGCGAGCAGGTGGCATTTAACACAAATATTATGATTTAAGTGCGCGCAACATGTGTTTCTTGAATAACTTCAACATTTAAAAAAAGTTTGAAAATCAAAACAGAAAAGACTTCTGCGAGCAATTAATTAATAAGAGAACAGCTGTCTATACGGTTTACTTATATTTTGGCATTGGACAAGGTCATACATTTTGCAGGCTGTTTATGACATTTTTACACTAAAACCGCTGAATGTGTAGTGATTGATACTTAAGTTTGGGATAATATGATTTATTTATCAGTCGTAATTGGTTTTGAAATAGCTTACAGAAACTGCAAGTACTCTTATTTCGGAGCTTCTTGTCTATAGGTTTGTTCTTATGTTGTGCTGTAACACCACTGTCCCAGGTTAGGGTAAGGTTGCGCGCCACATCTCTAATGTGCCTGTACCAAGCCAGGAGCCTTTAGTTCAGTGGTTGTCGTTGTTTAATGTCTGTCATATTTTCGTAAATTTATTTGTTATATATTAAGCCGTTAGTTTTCTCAATTGAATCGTTTCACATTTTTCATGTCGGGGATTTTTAAAGCTTATTATGCGGTATGGGTTTTTCTCGTTGTTGAATGACTTACGGTTACCTATAACTGCTTCCATCCACTCATTTGAATTTTGGTGGATAGTTTTCTCATTGGCAGTTATACCACATCTCTTTATTTCTATATGGTAGTCTGATGGAATAGTCAAATAAAACAATTCTATTAACTAGAAATTTTAGACCAGTGTGTTTTAATGAAAACAACACAAACACCCTGTCTATTAAACGGAATGTGTTCTTGAAAACGCATGATCATTCCACAGGGGTACCAAACTACTTGTAGTAACAAAATATGGATTTCATTTCCATATTCACAAAATATATTTCTGTAAAAGCCTTAATCGGGTACTCTGGTGACAACAAGTTTGAAAAGGAACACAAGTAGGACACATTGAGAGCATTAAACAGAAAAAGGACGAAATAGAATATTAAAAAAAAATCAACATTGCTGGCGGTTGTCGCAACTATAGGTTTAACACAACTACACGTTATTTGACATGAAATGTATATACAAATGTGTAATTCAAATCATTTCAATACAGATGCAATGGCCACTTGGGTGATTGTTACATCTGGAATACAGGCAATGTCACTGACGAACATGACACGCTTTCCATGTATACATTACGTCTGTATGAATATATATATGATAAATATGTAGAGCATTTGCTTACTATATTATTTTGAATATATATACTGCATCTTACGATCCTTTACGACAGATAATTTTGCTAATCTGCAATCAATTCCATCTTCATGCCTAATATATCATGTACTGTGTTACAACTCTAGATTCTACTGACGAGGAAAGGTAACACTAGGCCCCCGAAAGCTGAATTTTAAGTTCAGTCTAGGTGGCCGAGTGGTCTAGAGCGCTGGACACAGTGCAGGCGGTGTTGTCACGATATCCCAATAGCATGAGTTCGAATCCCGGCGAGAGAAGAACAAACATTTGCTTCCGCAAATTTGCAGATTTAACATTGTTGTGCTGATATTTAGAGTAATTATGAATATAATATGTGTTTTCAGCCGTGTATCACCTTCACTGGTGATCCAATGGATGGAGTTGTCACTTGTTTAGACGTACTTATATATAATATATATATATACATTTATTTATCTTACCTCCTATAGATTTATGTGGATATGATTGGTTAAAGGACTACACGTGGTGACTACATATATTTGCTATAGGGTGTCCTAAAAAATATAGGGTTAGTTACCATATAACGTTAGTTACCATATGGGGTTAGTAAGGAATTACTTCCCTTTCAAAACAAAAAAGAAATCTGAAATGTTTCAACAGACGAAGAAATTGATAATGAACGATTGAAATAAATTCATAACACAAATTTAAAGCTAAGTTGTTATTGTTTGCATTTGTTTTTTGTATAGACAAATGGAAGTAGGTTCTTAATACTAAGTATTGAAGACTTAATCACTTTGATAGGCCGCTAGTCTAAATACCACATGTGAAGATAGTCGGTTAGATAAATTCGTTATACGGTGTGCCTAGCTCTCACCCCATATGGAATGTACTGACCCCATATATATCGTATTAGGTCACTCACACACCATGTAACTAATAATATATGTATCAATATAGGACACACAAAGAATTGCCAAATTCATCCAAGATCAATTGCCTAATGGAGTAGAAACCTTATTTTGTTAATGATTTCTTCATATATCAACGGGTAATTTTAATCAAAGTTCTAGTATTTCTTTCTTTTTCAGGTGACAAATTGATTGAATATGCTTTTTGGAACAAAAGGAGTACGAATTTTACTTTATTGGTTGTTATTATTCCCATTTTCTTCTCGTAAGTTGATATAGTTTAAGATTCAAAGTTGTTTGGTGTTTTGTATTATAATTGTTCTAATATCATTTGTCAAGGAGAGTACCAACTTAACCCAGTCTGTTCAACATGTAGCTTTTACAGCTTTGATAGCTTATCAATTAATGGGTTATATATAATACGATGAAACTTTGTGACTTAGGTTATTGAAGGATATTGTTGAGGACTCAGCCAGAAATAGGCTTAAATTGAGACGACCGTAGTTTTCGGATGTTAAATTTCGAAAATCAGACAAATCAAGATCCGGAATTGGCGTAATCAAATACGAGATAGGCAGGAATCTTTTACCTGGACACTTCTCAATCAATCATATTATCAATTTCAAGTCGCAATGAGACAGTTGTCAAGCTTTCATTGTGTGTGTGATGTTTAACAAGATCAATGAGACAAATTATACATAGTCGCATGACTTCATAGATATAAGAAGATGTGGTATGAGTGCCAATGAGACAACTCTCCATCCAAGCCACAATTTGTATAAGTAAACCATTATAAGTCAAAGTACGGCCTTCAACACGGATTCTTGGCTCACACCGAACAGCAAGCTGTAAAGGGCTCAAAAAGAATTCATTCACAGTCTGCGACAAGTAGAAAAATATACTTCAATAATTCTCTGACATAACAACAATGCGAGAACACGACAACTGAAGATCGTTTGGCTTAGCAGTAAATGCAGCCACTTGTTCCTGTTCATCCTCTTTCCTTTAAAAAAAGTGTTTGTTTTAATAATGTGGATAAAAACATCAGTAGCACACCGGAGCAAGTGAAAGCAACTATGAGACATAGACCGTTAGTAAACTTTATAAATTATACATGTTATATGCAATTTTTGAATTTTTGGTATGGAATGTAGAAAGAAGTTAAAGAAGCAAAAATATTTGAAAAAGAACATTACCCCGAAATCATAAGTGGAATATACCGCATTCCTATTGACAGTAAACTACATATATAATATTATGAACCCGTTGTTAGCCCGAGTATAAATTTTCGTATGATATTTAGCCATAATTAATTTTCATTGGTCCTTATGGCTATGAAACATTCAACACAGCTCAATTTTCTTACGAAAAAAAACCAATAACTATGAGCTGTAGGTCCTTTGAATTTAAAAAAAAAAAATTTATATTCTTAAAGTAACCAAAACAGATAAAAGCAAATAGCAAAGTAATTAAATACACAATAATATGTCATCTAAATCACCATCAGGAAATGTCTTTCGACTACACGAGGGAAAACTTGCAAAACCCAGAATGTTGTATACCTTCTTCAGTGTCGATGTGGCATGCAGTACGTTGGCGAGACAGAACAGCCATTCAACAAACGCATGAATGGCCATCAAAGTGACTACACCTGCAAGCCCGACCTCCTAGTAAGTCGTCATTTGAGATCACATGGGCACGCCCAAGCTGATCTCAAAAACCTTACCATCACAATCATAGACCACAACGAGAGGTCAAGGGCCGACAGATTCGCTCGGGAAAGGTTTTGGATAACAAAGCTAAGGACAGTTTCCCCAGAGGGCATAAATGAAAAAAACATAGAATGAGTCACTCATTTTTCCTACTATCACTTGTTTCCAGTAACTCAGGCTTCCGTACTGGACTCTTACAGTTTTAAGGAATTTTTTAATTATACCAGTTTAAATTACAGGGTTCTATTCATTTGGGAGGGATGTATAAGTACCCAGTCACGTTCAATTATTTAACCTTAGTCAAAATTTATTATTATTTTTTTAATAATTATCAAACTGCTATCTATTTGGGATGTTTAAATACGCAGCCTCTGTTTTAATTACTCTACCGTTTAGAGTTGTACCAGTTCATATCGCACATTACTATTTTTATTTGAAGCAGATCTTTGCAGTCTCTGTTGTAAATAGCTACATAACCTACGTCATGTTTAAAAAAAATTTAGAATTGTACAAGCGTGTCTATGACGTTCAGTTTTGACTGTTTTATTGTATAAATTTCAAGATTGTTATAGTTTTATAATCAGACTAGATTGATATAATTCATTTTACATCGTGATAATACTGATGAAGGATATCTGTTATCCGAAATATTTAACATTTGTTCATTTTATTATTATTATTTTTTGGTGATGTTTGTACCCTTTTAGACTTGTTATATATATATGAACGTTGTTTTCAATTTAGACTTGTTTATATTTTTTCGTTTGGGCTTGTATTATATTTGCCTTCGGGTTTATATGATCCGTTCATCCTATTTTGACTCCTCAAAAATCAAGAGTCTATCCTAAATTGAGGTAAATTATATGGCCTTCCAAATACCGTTTCGATTCCTAACATCACTGAAGAGACATTAATTGTCGAAATCCGGATATGGTGTACAAAAATCTTTGCACCTTTGTTTGCGGTATACTATCTTTGCCGCAAGTTTATTGTTTTCTGTTTGGTATTAAATTTATAATTAAGATCCATTTATTACACCTTGTGGTCCGTTTATTTGGAAATCGCCAATGGCAGTCAGCAGGGTTTAAGAACATTTGTTGTTCGACCTGTTAATCAAATGCGTTTTGTTAAAATATACTTTTTCACTGTTTTGGTCTTTTGGAAAATGTTGTTTGTGCTGTATTTAGACCCCTCTAACAAGAATTTTCTTTTGCATGCACACGTATAAAAAAAATGCGGTTTTTATCCAACGCAATGCTGACTGCCAGATGGTATACCGCATACCTGAGGTGCAAAGATTTGTACACCATATCCGGATTTCGACAATTAATGTCTCTTCAGTGATGTTAGGAATCGAAACGGTATTTGGAAGGCCATATAATTTAGCTCAATTTAGGATAGACTCTTGAATATATATATATATATATATATACAGCTCTATGAATTCAGATTCCTTGATTATATACCGGAATCTGGTGTCATATATATATCTGTAATTGTGTATATATCTATGACATCAGATTCCTTGATTATATACAGGAATCTGGTGTCATATATATATATGTAGATGTATATAGCTTCATGACATCAGATTCCTTGATTATATACAAGACTCTGGTGTCATATGTATATATGTAGATGTGTATAGCTTTATGACATTAGATTCCTTGACATATTACATGAATCTGGTGTCAGTTGTCAATGTATGGCTGTTTATAACACAGTAACATCAGATTCCTTGACATATTACAGGTATCTGGTATCAGTTGTCTATGTATGGCTGTTTATAATACAGTATCATCAGATTCCTTGACATATTACCTTATATGGGGGTACCCATTCCGCAACTCCTCCTAAACAACTTATCCTAATGTAATGAAACTTTCTCAGATTCTTTATCATATAATGAAATTGTGCACCTCCTATATTTTTTATTGTCAAAATCTTTTTGGTGTTTCTTTTTCCAAAACATGGACTTTGCCGTTGACTTCTAATCGGTGTACCTATTTTGAATCCACAAATTCTCCTAAACCACTTATTTAATGAAACTTTCTCAGATTCTTCATCATATAATCAAATTGTGCTCGGTCTCCTATATTTTTTTTAGTCAAAATCTTTTTTTGGGGTTTCTTTTTCCAAAGCATGGACTTTTCCATTGAATTATAATCGAGGTACCCATTTTATCATAACCACTTATCATAATTTAATTAATCTTTCTCAGATTCTTTATCATATAATGCCATTGTGCACCTCCTATTTTTTTTTATGGTCAAATTTTTTTTTGGGTTTCTTTTTCCAAAACATGGACTTTGCCGTTGACTTATAATCGGGGTACCTATTTTGTATCCACAAATACTCCTAAACCACTTATTTAATGAAACTTTCTCAGATTCTTTATCATATAATGAAATTGTGCACGGTCTCCTATATTTTTTTAGTCAAAATCTTTTTTGGGGTTTCTTTTTTCTAAAACATGGAATTGCCATTGACTTATAATCGAGGTACCCATTTCATTATAACCACTTAATTTAATGAATCTTTCTCAGATTTTTAATCATATAATGCCATTGTGCACCTCCTTTTTTTTGGCAGAGATGAATTCAAGATATCAAGTAGATAGGGAATACAACATTTCAGAGTATCATTAAAGTTTCAATATAAGCCTTGCATAATTCATCATTTCTGTCGGTCAGTTTGTTTTAATTTCCTTATTTCTTTTTAATCTTTAAACACAGACTATTTTATAAAAACATAACAGGGACAATATTTTGAAATGCAATGTTAAATTTCCATTTTATATCTTGCATTGTTAATTTTTTAACTGTTCACTTTTTTCTCACTTCTTTTCAAGTTAAAAAACAACATTATAGATTTGGACAATTCATTATTTTATAGATTTCAAGGAATTGTTGCTAGTTTATTTTATTGAATCAGCATTTTAATGATTACAACGAAGACATCCATGGGGTACCCTGCACCTTTGATATAAGATATTTTACTTTGACCTTAAAAATCAGTTGAGACACACCCCCTGAAGGTGATGCATGATCATGCCATGTATCATCATTGAACTTCAAACCATTCTCATTTTATATAGCAGACAAAATCTTTACCAAAGAGCATGGGATTCTCACATTTGACCTCAGTTATTAACCTTTACCTTTAACCAAAAGATTTGAAAGTGGTGAATAACAATGCCAAGTATCTTCACTTAACTTCAAACCATAATTCTCAAGTTATAGAGCAGACACAATATTTATCATAGGACCTAAGTTGTTTAGATACCCTAAAGATTATTTTGCTCAAGTTTGGCTAAAATCGATTCACTTCTTATTTTTTCTGGAGAAGATTTTTGAAGGTTAAACAACATAATGAACAAATTGTGTAAAATTGTCTTTAAAGGGCATTAACTCCTTAAGGGGTCAATAATAATTTGGATCATTTGCCAATCTTACTTAGCTGAACATTTTTGCTGTAAATACAGCTTATTTTTGTCTATATTAACATACAAGAAAAAAAACAATAACTAACAAATTTCCTTAAAATTATCAAT